ATTGGTCAGCCGGTTAGCGCGGTCGATGCTAATAATAAAAGCACACACACACACGGTGTCCTCCGCTCTTTGCATCATCAGTGGCTTCCTAGGTTCGAGCGAGGGCATTTGTGTAGCTGAGATGTGTGTCTACGTGAAAGAACATGTAGAGAGAGTCGTATTGGCATTCGCATCAAGCGCATTGCGCATTTTTCGAATTTTGGCCTCCTTCCAGGGACCTTGATTTTTACCCGCTGGCACTGACGTCTTTTAATTGGTCAGCCGGTTAGCGCGGTCGATGCTAATAATAAAAAACACACACGCACACGGACATCAATTTGAGAATAGTAATTAATTCAGGGGTCGGGCTGACAGGCGGTGTTATTCAACGTGCGCAGAACCCAGGCGGGGAAACAAAAAGGACCCATCTAAAACAGTTTTATTGCGAAGAAAAAAGCTCCGCTATCGCTCCGTTTTTTTTATCGCATGCGCGCTTCGCGCGCGGAAAAAACTCTTAAAACAGTTTTTTTGCGAAAAAAAACTTCGCTATCGCTCCGTTTTTTTTTCGCACGCGCGCTTCGCGCGCGGAAAAAACTCCTACAAACAACAATAGGCTGATGACGCAAGTCAGTAGTCTATGGAGTGACCTGTTCTACGGCGGTAGCAGCAGTGAGCAAGCAAGGTTACACAAGGTTGCCCACACCTCGTTGATACGTGTGCGAAGTTGCACTGTAGACGTGACTCTACAACCAAATGGAACTCGGTTTAAAGAGAAATGAGAAAGTTATGTTGTACAATTTGGTTGTATTGTTGAGCTGGGCAGGAGCAGAGTGAGCTCCGGTGGGGGGCGCGCGCTCTGCGTGGTCAGCCTTTTTGTCAAATACCGACGAAAGTACGAAGAACGGTAGTACCAGCCTGGAACCGTTCTGCAACCGTTCCGGGAAGAAATACCGTCGTTATAAAAGACAACAATCACTGTTCCACAAACGTTCCGGGAAATTTATTAACCTTATGTTGGACTTTATCCTTACAACGTTCCTGAGGACCGTCCCAGGATTGTGTCGGATCTGGGAAGCACATTCCCAACCGTTACGAATCTACCGCATCCATCAGTAGATTTTTCTAGGTCTTTCCTGGAATATTTTCATGTTGAAGTTGTCTCCCTACAATAGCTAATTGTACAGATATTAGTGCGCCAAATCAGTTATGCTGGAACCGGTGTTACGTGTGCTGCTGAATCGCTCACGATTTATGAGACATCGTATACTGTGTTGTGTTCAAGATAATACTGGGAACAGCTGTCTTTGTCAGTTGA